CATTAAACCGTTCCATAGCAACGGCTGTACGCGTGACATCTCGTTTCGTGAAAATTACTCTATTGTTGGGTGCGGGCAATACCTAGCAACGGCTGTTTCTCTGGCTCCACAGTTCTTGCTCTGAGCAAATACGCCACAATATGTCCTGTGACATTTAGTTTGCAAGATACATATCGCCGTCAAATGGGACAAGCTATCAAATAATCAAACCAGGGACGCCTCGCAGGTACCAATAGTGATCGAAGAGGCCTCCGTCCGTTTCAAGTCAGGCGGGTTCACTTGAACACGCCTTCACATGTCGGCATCGCCCGCTGTCACGGCTACCTGATTACGTTTCGGCACGAGAACTTCCGACAGGCCTGGGAGGGACTGCATGAACGTACTCCTTTTGGTGTCCCCCACAGAAACAAAAATCCCGACGACTGAGGAGGCCACGCAATGGGCCCTCAATGTCCAAACGTCACTGATTAATGTACAGCGTTGAAACCACTGCCAGACATTTTGCCCAAAGTGCGCTGAAGCGTCGCTGTGCTGAAACCACAACCTCTGCCCCAGGCACAACTGCAAGCAAGGCCTGCAGAACAGTTTCCACAAACAGTAATATCGCTACACGGTCAGCCTCTCAAGTACGGGTCCACGACGATGTCCCTGACGACTCCACTCTAACGCTGAAGTGGGCTTGAAACCCACGTTCCAGTGTTCAGGGGTGTGTCGTCGCCTGCTGAAACACTGAGATAACGGGTCCGAATCCCACTTGAGGCACGGATGTCTCTGTTTATTCTGTTGTCCTGTGTATGTAACGGCCATGAGACGGGCTGATCCCCCATCCAAAGGGTTCTACCGACTGTCTATAAGGAACAGACGCGTTTCACAGATGCCCTAGAATAATTATCCAAAGAAAGGTATGTAAGAACAGCTGGTCCGCAGTGTGCTGATGTAGCCAATTTACAAACCTTCATCCGCAGAGACCGACCGCCCGGAAATATGTGCATCTGATCCTCGCGAAGCACGTCTAGGACCTTCCGCTGCGATAGCCCCAGTTCTCGTAAGGCATCACACAAGCTTCATTCCACAGCTGCAATCGTGGCATCTTCATTGGCTGGTGTTCGTACAGTCCGTGGGCGACCTGCATTCACGTGTGCCGTAGGTGTAACACTTCCTGCCTCACGGAGATGCTGCTCGTCGAAACACATTAGCGTCTCCATGACGTCGGCAAGGATACCGTACTACCAACTTAACTATTATGGGTAAGTAAGTAAGTAAAAGCAAAGTTTCCTTTGTGTTCAATTAGGCACCACACCATGAAGGCGGGTCAAAGCAGTAGCGTAGTTAGTTGAGGCACTATGCCACAAGCCGGAAGGTAGCGGGTTCGAATCCCGATGTCATAGGATTTTTCAATTAACCTAATTCTTCCAGCCGCACTATGGCCCTGGGGTCAACTCAGCCTCTAACAGAAATGAGTATCACGAATATTCCTGGGAGTAAAGGGCGGCCGGCGCGTAAGGCTGGCAACCTCGCCGCCATCTGTGAGCTGACTGTCTAGAAAATATTACAGCCTCGACGTCTCACAACCCTATGGGCGCTCATGGGCTGTTATAGGGATTGCTTTACCTTTTTCTCCATGAAGGCGTATGGGGAAGTGATGTTTTCTTGACCTCGGAACTAGTTGGAGGTGACGGGTCAGCTTCACGCCCCCGCCGCCTTGTTCCTGAGGAAAAAGCCCCCTGATACCCACTGGACAGGATGGGTGGGCCCCAGAAGAAGTCTGGACGGCGTGGAGACGAGAAAATTTTTTGCCCTACCAGGACTCAAACTCCAACCCCTCTCTTGTCTAGCCCGTTGCTAATCGCTATACCGACTCACGACTACTACAGGTACCGGGAGTTAAGGGCATGTCCAGTAGTCGTCATGTGTGTAGTCTATGGTCATTTGATCACACGGGACACTTACCCTGCACTGTGCGTCTTGAATAAACATAATGTATCGCCTTGACAAATAACACTGCTGAGACGTACGTTACCCCCTTTTGACGGTAACGTGTATCTGTGTGTCTCGGGACTTGTGCTGGGAAACATTTTCGACTTTCTTAACAATGAATCACGACGGAGGGGCTAATGCACGAATTTCGTTTCTTTCTGTATAGTCCAGTTACTGTCAACGTCGTTAAACATCCCGCAAATAAACAGGGCACATAAAGGCACAGAATGGGCCCAAACACATATCGACATGAACCTGATCCTGCAGACTATCATACTTTCACACACACTACTGACAACTTATCAAGATACAAAATCCGTAGTATTTCTTGCATACTTCAGCAATACTAATACGAAAAAATTTTAAACGCTCTTTAACAAAATATTCTTCGGACCTGAACACGATGATAAAAAACAGATTCCTTTGGTCTGTAGTCCGCAAGCTAACTATGCCGAGAGAACGAACACCGTCTCTGTGGTCTAATAGTCAGAGTTCCTGGCTACAGATCCAGAGGTCCCGGGTTCAATTCCCGGGGATGCCAGATTTCCTGAGAAGTAGTGGGTCTGGACTGGGGGTCCACTCAGCCTCGTGAAGATAACTGAGGAGTTACCTGAATGGAAAAGTAGCGGCTCCGGTCTATAAAACCGAGATTAACGGCCGTGGGGATCCGTTACGCTGATCACCGCGACACCCTCTATGCGCTAAAGTTGGAACACAATGATCAGCAAAAAAAAAAAAGGTATCTTTAAACACTTTAAAAGTTCGTAAACAAATTTCCTGTCTTACCCTCCTCTCCCACAATGGACAGCTTCCCTTCCAAGAGCATAAACACTGAAGATGGCAACCGTAATGTTCGCCGAAACGTACGAAAACAACATTCGATGCTGCTTATTCACTAGAGCACACACGACACTTTCGCACCCGAAACTTTTTTTGGGGCGGAACCACTAATAAAATTCTTGTATATAAAATCACGAAACTGGACAAACACGTAAGGTTCATAACAAATGTTACATAAGGTCACCAGATCAACATATTATTTGACTGCACACATTTAGAGGCAAAAGTCACGTTTCATGTATAAGAAAGATGCAGCTTAAAGACTAATATGTCGCATATTTACAATTTTCAATGTGAAGAGTGGTTTTTCGTTCTTCCTCACAAAATTCTTTCTTATGTTTGGCTTCATGCTCAGAAGTTCAATTCTCAGATCTGGCGCCGCAGTAAGTTCGTGTCTGTGTTTTGTTTTTGTGACAGCGTTAATTCCTGAATGCAGTTTCGCGCAAGTATGTGATAGCGCGAGCCGGTCACGGTAGCCGAGCGGTCTTAAGGCGTACACTTTCTTCGCTCGCTCGGAAGCCGGGATCGTGGGTTCGAATCCCACTCAGGGCATGGATGTTTGTGTGCGTTTTTCTGTGTTTGTCTACAGGTAGAGGCCTTGCGACGAGCTGATCACTCGCCCAAGGAGTCCTACCGAATGTGTAAGATCTAGTAAACCGAAGTGAAACGGAGAGTTTCATGGAGGTAGGCCTAGGCCCAAATTGGGGCTGTAGCGCCACAGGAAAAAAAAGTGATAGCGCGGGGTATCAGATAACGAAACCCACATCTTGTTAAATAGTTTTTCTCTGAAGTAAAAAAAGCTAACGTTTTCTTTTTAAGGTCTTCCTTCTAAAGTGTCATTCCTATTTTAAAGAAACTCCGAAATGAAAATTATTTTTAAAGAACTTCAAAATAACATTTAAATTATAATTCTGTATACTGTACCGAAATGTTCTTGTGGAACCATTATTTTCACTTCGCGAAACCCTGGGGTTCTGCTGATCCTCTGGGAAACACTGCCCTAAGGACACTAAACACATTCTGAACTGGCTGTAATTCTCGGCCATGGTTGTATCGAAGGCCTCTAACTGACAACACCATTTCAGTAGGAATGACTTTGCTTATGCTCGCATTTAAATAAAAAAAGAAATAATGCACACAAGTGGTACCTTGTTTTGTGTACACACGAAAGGGCACATTCTTCTGATAACGAATTCATTACAATGTGAATTAAAATCCATCCATGTATTTACGGAACGTGTGCGCCTATAAACTCAGTAACTCATCACAAACTGCTGTTCTGTTCAAAACAATAGATACAAAAACAATGCCTCTTCATCAAATGTTATTATTCATTTCAAAAAAAATCTATAAAAACGGTCAGTCTTCATGAACTGCATGTCACTTCAAACCACTGCTTTAGAACAACTCATCAACTATTGTTCTTTTCAAAACCACCATTTTATGTTGGTTATATAACGACGCTAGTAGTATCAAAACTATACAGCGCCGATGGCAGCAGGATTCATGAATGCCGAGCAGATGATGGAATCAGAACTGGTGGGAGAAACCGAAATATTTAGGGAAAAAAAAAGCGTCCCCGTGCCACTCTGTCCACCACAAATCCCACATGACCTGACACTGAAGCCGGGCAGCCGGCGACTAACCTAATAATTCTCAGACTGTTGTTCACTTCAAAATCATAATTTCTCTTCATCATCAACTGTTATGACAATAAGTCTTCATCGACCACTGTTCACTCCTAAGCCACTACTATAAAAACAATAACACCTGTTCACTTCAAAACCAAAATGAAACCACTCAAACATCTCACCTCACCATTTCATCAGTCACCAGTGTTAAAATTATACTTTCAATTACGACCTGAACGTGTACCACAAGCAAGAAGGAAACAAACCACTGTGTTATAATTTCCAAGCACGTAACCTGAACTGCTTTACTGTTCAGGTCCAAGTGTCATAACCCAAAAATCTTAAATCAACTCATACAATACTATCTACACAGATTTCACACAAAAGTTTATTCCGCACTTAAAAACTTAAATAATTCAACTGAAATCGGGTCAATATAACATTACATAAAATGCCAAAGTACCTGTAAGATGTCAAACCGTAACTGCCAAATCCACGTGGATTTCACGTCTAGAAATAAAATTTCGCTGTTTCCTCACACGGGTTACCTACCCATGTTTTCACACTGACAGCCTGTCTAAATGATATGGTCCGCCCGTTCCTCTACGGTACTTATTCTTCAGTAACAACATACCATCTTCATACTTGCTACAGCCGTCTACCTCACATACTTCAGCCCTAAATCATTTTAAAAATATGTGAAAGACAACTATCATCATGCGGCCATATTGGATTGAATGGCAAATTATATAGAATAGTATGAAGCCACACTTGCAGTTGTTTACAAGTTGGAATACAATTGAACAAATATACTTACCTACACTCCGCCCCGCCAGTAATCCTACTGTAAACAGAACGCAGAGCAGAAACACTCTCGGCGCCATAAATTCACACGCATTGGGACAATTTTTCAGAGAAAAACGTCGTCTAAATACGCCACACAACTCTCACTCTGCGCGCATTAATACATGCACTTCCCCACACGTTCGAGCAGAGCTTTGACATCACCTTCCGCGGCTGTTCCATTTATTTGGTTTCACCCCTGCGAGTGTTTCAATGGTTGGAACACTTTTGGCGCAATATTTCAAGCGATGAATGCAATGCGTAACAATCACAAGCGTGACCGACTGTTTACTTTTTGTGTGCTAAAGATAAATTCGGATAAATTTATACCACAAAAATCGTACCATAATTTCACGTTAATTTGCGATTTACCATCGCGAAAGGCCGCGCCATAGCTCCAGCGGTTAGTCGCTGGCTTCCCACCGCAGCGGCCCGGGTTCGATCCCGGGTGGTCTGGTCAAGTGGGATTTGTTGTGGACAAAGTGGCGCTGCGGCAGCTTTTCTCCGAGTACTTCGGTTTCCTCTGCCAATCTTCATTCCACCAATTGCTCCACAATCACCTTCACCTATCATCTGGGGCTGGTACAATAGGCCAGAAGTGGCCGCAGTACAAGGGACTTAGTCCCACCCCACTAGCAATAAAAAAATACTATCGCGAAAGATTTAATAACTGCAAAAAATTTCTTTAAGAAAACTCATGCATTTTATTAAACTGGGAGAAATTTACATTTACAATAGTTTCACACAAGACACGGATGCATCATTTCTTCAAGCATAATTAAAAGTAATTCACACCTGAACTCAATTAAATTTTGTAGTCAAAAAGTATAGATAGAATCTTGGTCATAATGACGTGTAATTCGGTACAACGTTTCAGAAGAGCATATGACCTCCATCTTGGGAGTCGGAGAGTAAGTTAAGCAAGAAACCAGCAATGAGCATCTTTGACTTGCTCCCCAACCTGAAGATGGAGGCGATACAATCGTCCAAAACATCGGTGTACTTGTACCGAACATCATGGGGTTACAACCCTGAAGACCACCTGGGTAAATATGGAATCCAACAATAAAATCACGTCTTTGTAATTTCACATGCCTACGGAACAATTACTGCAAAAGTGGATCCAAGTTTTCTGTGACCAACCCTATATAAAGAAGGCAGTCTTCTGGGATGTGGCGCCGTGAAGATATTGTGTTAACTGACGTTTCGGAGGAACGTATCGCCTCCATCTTCAGTTAGAAGAAAAAAGAACTTCAAATCTTATAAGCCTGTATTATTTCTCCTACAAATTTTCCAGTGCCACTCATTTTGTACATTCCAATATTAAGGTCTATGAACTGAGTTACTGACAACTCATTAACACCGGGGAAAAAAAAAAGGTGACTGTCAGGAATCGAACTCTGTGTTAAGCAGTTTGCATAAATATGTAGCATAACGGTACTAAAAGGTGACAAGTGACACAACCATCGGTAATCCCTGATCTCGATTTTGTTTCTTGATTAAAGGTGGCTGACACATGTTAAACACGGATAACTAAGTACACGCTAGAACCATGTGGCCCAGTACCGGAAGAAGTGTTAATAAAACTACAGAAACAACATACTCACAATGCTCTCTATTGACCGCTCATGAACTCCCAACTGTTGCTCAAGATTTGCATGCGCGCGACATCTGTGGGCAATTTCTGAAAGCTTCCGGTGATGCACGACATCAACACGTGCCTTCAAATGACAATCGTAATACTATCCATCTCAAGAACATCCCCTTTTTACTAGGACGTAGGCTGTCAAAGGTTGCTTTAAATATGGAACAGCTCAGTCACTGTAACGATTAAAATACGGACAGGACGACTGGAGAATCCGAGTTCGATTCTCGGGAGGAGCAGATATTTTTTCTCCTTTTCTCTGCGACCAAACTGTTTCTTATCCAAGGGGTCCGCGGTGATTCCCCAGAGCTAAGGCTGGACACTCACCTGATACGTCTTCAAGGTGTTATGCTTAGTTGGGCTCAAAATGAACACATTTTCAAGCTAGATTTGGCCTTCTCAAGGTGATGACTACAAGCAATACCGTCTTCTAAGATGTGACATCATGGAGTCAGGTAAAAGTATACCGATGTTTAGGACGACTTTACCGCCTCCATTTCAAGGTCGAAGAGTAAACCAAAGCAAACATAACTTATTGTTGCTTGCACATGCCTTACCTTTACAGACAAGGTCTCCTGCCCTGTAAGGTAAAGTTGTCCCTGTGCTTAACTAATTAAGCACTACGCTACGAGTGGATACATAGTTCCAGATTTTCTTGACCTCAGCACTAGTTTGAGTGGTCAGTTTCACGTCCCTTCCGCTTTGCCCCCGGTATGCATTGGATAGGAGGTTGGGTGGACCCAAGAGCCTGTCTGAACGACGCGGAAAAGAGAAAATTCTTGACCCTGCCGGGACTCCAACTCCGATCGCTCGGTCACCCAGCCCATATACAGTCGCTATACCGACTGAGCTATCCAGGCTTGTTCCAATACAAAACCTACTTCTGGGATTAAGAATCTACAGACTGTTGGTGTGGATGTGAGATCAGCAAAGTCTTCACTGACATAAAACACAAAAAAACGTGGGCTTAGATCCCTGACCCAAATGGGTTCCAAAACCACGATCTCATTCTCAGAGCAATGGAAGACAGTACTCACCTTAGACCACCTGGCCACTGTAACTACCCTAAGAAATTTTTATCATTTATTTGTGGTTTTCTCAACGACACTATCACTGATACAGACTGTGAAGCACTGAAATGTATGATTGTAGTGAATAATTAACAGGAAATGACGTGAAGGTACCGGAAGGAAACAGAAATCCGCAATGAGGATATCCGGTGTTCGGGGCGGCATATTCGAACCCGGGCAGCCTCGAATATAAAGAAGCGACACCTACTCGGCTCGCGAATATTCGATAAGGGACTCAAACGTAACGAATGAGAAAACATGCCTCAGTTTTTTAATCTTCTCTTCGACAGAAGTTAACGTGAAAATGTGCGCTTGGTAAGGAGTACAGCACACTTCAGGAGGCGGTGGAAGACGAGTATGTAAGCAATGGCTCTTCCAGCCCATTCATGGCCCAGGTCTCTTATTCAGTCCCATAATCATTTTACACAGACGGTAGGGTTCCTTGGACGAATGAACAGCCTGTCGCAAGGCCTCTACCTAAACACAGGGCAACACAAACCAACATCCATGCCTTGAGTGGGATTCGAACCCATAATCCCAGCGCCCAAGCGAGCGAAGACAGTTCTTGCCTTAGGCCGCGCTATGGCACGGCCTCCGAAAACAATAAGCCGCACTCTGTTGAGGTCCGACTGGACCACAACTGTCGCAAGCTGTCTGTACTTAATGCAAGAGCTATAGCGAGGTATACAAGAAAATGTCACTCAACTGGATAATACAATCCGGGCTTCCCCTTCGACTCGACTGCGCAGACGTGCGAAGATACGCGAAACTGTCCGCCCTGCTTAATACCACCTGTCACTAATTCAACATCCAGCTAGCATCAACATTTAGCCCCTCCCCCCCACCCCACCCATTGAAAAAGAAGACCATGATCAGCTGATTGGCGTCAACACGTGCCACAGACTGAGAGGTCTCCTTGGAAGATCGGGTAATCGAACCTCATATTTGTTGGCACTAAAACAACAGCACTTCAAGCACCGCATAAAAAAAAAAAAAGTAACACTTGTTGTGTCTGAAAAGCCAATATGCCGTGAAGATTATAATTCACTGAAGAGGAAAAACTTTAATGTTTAACGACGCTGCCAGTATCGGATGTTACATAGCGAAAAATGCAGTAACTCGAAAACCACCGAACGAATTTTCATGAAATTTCATACTAGGAAGTTTTTCTAAAATTTGTTGAATTCCAGTTTCGGCTATAATAAAAATGAAAATTGGCGGCCACTTTACAAGAACATTTATCAGAAGAAAAAGCTGCTTCGAACAAAAACTGTAAGGAGAAAGAAACATACATTTGTAAAGTTTTAAATTTTCGGAATAATTAAAAAAAAAAAAAAGAGCCAAATCGCCAGAGTTGTTAAGGTGTTCGTATGTTCCTACTTTGTTTCAACCGTTGCACTTTTCATGGCGGCAGTTTCTTTAAATGAGTAATCTTTTCCAGATTAATCTATTTTATAATCGTAAATATTAATCTACTCGTATTGGCCTGGGGTTACATAGCCACTTAGAGGAAAGGTAACGTTATCCCTGTGCTTAATTAATTAAGCACTATGCCATAAAGGCGTATGGGGGAGTGGAGGTATAGCCCCATCATTCTTGACTTCTGTACTATATGGAGCCCAATGATGAGCTTCACACCCCAGCCGCTTTACCCCGGGTGAAATAGCCACCAGTACCGATTGGATAGGAGGGTGGGTGGACCCAAGAGCTGGTCTGGACCCTGTTCAGTAACTTGGATACAGCGAAAAAAAAAATATGCGTAGCGCTTAGTGACTCCTGGAATGTATTATTAACTTTCGCCATTTAGAAGCTGTAACAATGTTTTCTTAATTACAATGCTATGTACTCAGAATTTAAATACTGCATTATAAAGACAAAATTGTTCTATTAAACGCAAGGAATTGCCCTTTATACCTGTATTACCAAGGTCGACTAAAACAACAGCAAACACTGTACAGAGTTGGAGTCAATCTTCCATCGCCTACATGCCAGCCATTTTGTATTAACACAAGCTACGGTCGCCTGATGTTACAGGTGACTGGGGATGCTTCTTTAGCTTTACAGCTTACGTCTCTCTTGCCTGTTACTAATTTCAGAATTAACTGCTAAAACCATGAAGCCATTTGGGTTGATTTCGCCGAGTCCTATTCACGAAACGACGGAACCACGAAGCGGTAGACACTCAACTTCCTTTAAGGAGAGGCAACATAAAGGAGACGAACCAAATCGGTTGTAAAAATTTTAACATCTATTTTAAACCACGCCGGTCACGGTAGCCGAGCGGTCTAAGGCATGTACTGTCTTCGCTCGCTTGGAAACCGAGA